TTGGTATGGGAGAAAGCCACTTTTGAATCACTGCTACCCTACAAATTTCGGGATCGCCGTCAGTCCGTTCCGAAAAAGAAAGATCAATCAAGTTGTCCGACAATCGCGGTTCACTCATTGAAAGTACAGTCAAAACTCGGTTTTCGACCGTAACCCGTTCCGGAAGGCTGTTCCAAAAGCCACTTGTTGGAAATCCGAAACGAACATGATTAGGGGCTAAGCCACGATGCAGAAATATTTTGGTGGTTCAGTGCGTTGGTTCTTCATTATGGTCCAGATTGTTGACTTGGTACTACTCGTGGTTCTAGGTCATGGATTTGGTGTGTATGGTTTTCCTAGTAGGCCGTTGGTGTGGTTTTTGGTCTTGGGAGTTGGGTCTACAAGCAATTCCGGGCGAGGGACTCGGTTCTACCGTGTGATCCCGGCCGGCCGGCTCAGTGAGTTCATTGTACCTTTGGTTCCTGGTCTCCTGAGTGGGTACTACGCATATCATCGCCCGTCTCTCACCGTCGAGCGGGTTCTACACGCGACACCGGGACACGGTGGGGGGGGGTCGGCTCTTCTGGTTCCGATTCCTCTCATTTAACCCGTTCGGTAGCATACCCGCGGAAAAAAAAAAAACGGTGCCTTGTAGCTAGGAGGCTCAAAACCGGAGAAAGCCACTTTTGAATCACTGCTACCCTACAAATTTCGGGATCGCCGTCAGTCCATTCCGAAAAAGAAAGATCAATCAAGTTGTCTGACAATCGCGGTTCACTCATTGAAAGTACAGTTATACCTCGGTTTTCGACCGTAACCCGTTCCGGAAGGCTGTTCCAAAAGCCACTTGTTGGAAATCCGAAACGAACATGATTAGGGGCTAAGCCACGATGCAGAAATATTTTGGTGGTTCAGTGCGTTGGTTCTTCATTATGGTCCAGATTGTTGACTTGGTACTACTCGTGGTTCTAGGTCATGGATTTGGTGTGTATGGTTTTCCTAGTAGGCCGTTGGTGTGGTTTTTGGTCTTGGGAGTTGGGTCTACAAGCAATTCCGGGCGAGGGACTCGGTTCTACCGTGTGATCCCGGCCGGCCGGCTCAGTGAGTTCATTCTACCTTTGGTTCCTGGTCTCCCGAGTGGGTGCTACGCATATTATCGCCCGTCTCTCACCGTCGAGCGGGTTCTACACGCGACACCGGGACACGGTGGGGGGTCGGCTCTTCTTTGACGTCTCGGTTGTCGATGCGGCTCGACGCGTGGGTTCCGATTCCTCTCATTTAACCCGTTCGGTAGCAACCAATTCTAGAGCAAGTCTGGAAAGACGTTTCAAAACGTCTTTGGGAGCGAAGGAGTCAAATCAAACCGCGACTGAGCGACCCGAACCGAAAATGTCCGTCCGGCGTTCATCGGTCAGCGTGAAGCGACTCCGATCGGATCCGTTTACCACCCCCCGGGGACACTCACCGTCGCAGGTGCTGTTGCAGGCGTTCTGGCTCCATCGGGCGGTGGACTGACAGAAGTAGCTGTCCGAGAGCTGGAAGAGGCCGTGGTAGCCCAGCGACCACTCCATTTGAAACAGCTTGCCGCTGCCGTCGTCCTCGTCGGCGCTCAGTTTGTCGTCGGCGATCACCAGCATTTGTTCATCAAACATGTTCTCTTCCTCGTTCAGGAGTTCCATCAGCTTCAACCAGTCGTCCAAGTGGAAGTCCATTTTGCTGCCCTGATTCACATAAAGGTACTCGCCCTCCTCATCGTAGGTTTCTTCTGCCCCGTCCAATAGTTCTTCTTGTTCTTCTTCCGCTTCAGGTTCTTCTTCCTGTTCCGGTTCCTCACCTGTAGCGTCGTCTTCCTGGTCCTGGTCTTGGCCATCGTTGACCTCATTGAGGGTTTGGTTGGAGTTGACGCTTTGGTTGCCGATGCCGCTTTGGTTGACGGGCGGGGCGGCGGTGCTGTTGCTCAAGGGAGTCGGAACGGTGGCGTTGGAGTTGACCGTTTGGTTGCTCATGATGACGATTTGGTCGGCGGCGGCGGTGCTGTTGGTCGTTGGGATTGCGGCGGTGGTGGTGGTGGTGGCGGGGGCGGCGGTGGTGGTGGCGCGTTGGCCGTAGATGGTCACGAAGCTCGTGCTGCGGTGGGAGACCTTTTCCAGTTGGCACACGACTGCGACGGGAACAGCAAGCAAAGATTTCAGCTCAAATCAACTCGTGGAAATCCTTCGTCGGGGTGACTCACGCAAAGTCAAAACCACGTCGGTGAGGTTTTGCGTGCGTTCCGACAGCTTGATCTTGTCCCTCAGCTTGTCTCGCAGCTCGCACCTGGACACGGTACGGCCGTGGCACTGGGGCGGCGGCAGCAGCAGCAGGAGCAGCAGCAGCGGCGGGAACAGCAGGGCGGATGTCGGCCTCATGTCGGCGTCTTTCTGTCGCGCGGGCACACGCTTGCCATTTTATTTCATCACAATTCCAAAGACGCTCTTCACATGTGATCTCCAATGCGGGCAACGGGGCTCGGACGCCGGCGACCATTGTCGAAAACGCCATCGAACGGACTCCGTCGGCCCATCGCCAGTCCCGTGACTTGATTGACATAAGAGGGCAACCAATCAGATGACCGAATGGCCGCTACGTGCGCAGACAACGCCGCTAAGTGCCGAGTGCCAAGCGAGTGACCGGCAGGGAGCGCCCAAAAACGTCGATCGCAAATCGACCAAGAGCCAGCGGACTGGTCCCAAGTCGACCGCGAGCGATGAGAGGATGGAAACAGGGCGGGGATTAGTTCGTTTGTGTCTTTAGGTTTCATTTATGTTTGGGCGCTCAGGCTGTTGCTCGTCGTGGTGTGCGTGTGTTCATTTCGATTGGGTCGATCGCGGGAGGTCGGTTGCTCTGAAAGTCGATCTTTGGGCAAAAAAGTGTGTGCGGCTTTTTGCAGTAACACAGTCCAAAAAATTGCCTCTTAGTCTCTGACTGGTTGGCCACTCCTGCAGTAACACGCAACCATCCATCCGTCCATTGTCCCAAGCATTTCGCGTCACCAGCCTGTCCCCCAGCCGAAGCCAAAAGTTGGACCGAGAGAGAGACAAATCTGGGCTTCCCTTCCTTAACCCACTCCACCCCCCCGCCGCCCCCCGACAAGCGCTTGATGACCGGATGGATGGATGGATGGATGGATGGCACTTAATGCGTAGATGGAGATAAAAAGGTCCATTTCATGATTGTGCTCAAAGGTACGGGAACAAAAGTCAACGTTGTAATTGCGGTTGCGGTTGAAAACAAAAAGCAAAAGAAGCAAAACAAAAGAAAAAGCCGCCGCCATTCAACTCAAGTCATGCGGTGAAGCGCTGGCGTCACTCAAGGCGCCTTCCCGGGGCCGGAGAAAATGTTTGCTGTTTTCTCCATCTTGTTTTGTGGGCGGGGGGGGGGGAAGTCGAAGTTTGAGGTGTCAGAAGCAAAACATCTTTTTCAGAAAAGGGGCTCTTTTCCTGCTTTTGAGTTGGAAAGTTGCGTTTCGGGTGAAAGCGACCGACGCTCTTGGCCTGATTACCGAAGAAGGGGAAAAGAGCGCAAAACAAGCCGGCGGTGAAACAAGAATCTCCTCTTTTGTTTTGGGAGATTCCGTGCCAATACCGTCACCGAACGCAACATTTGAAAGAGGAGTCAAAATGCTTCCAAACGCCAAAACGATTTCTCTGGTTTTGGTTCCGAATGTAGAAAATCGGTGCGGGAGCCTGGAAAGAAAAAATCTTGGACGGACGGCCCCCGATTTGCGTCAAGGTGTCCTCATTGAACAATTTCATGACAATACGTGTAAAAAAGTCAAAGCGGTCGGCAAAGAAAGGCGCTTACCTGTCAAGTGCGAGTTTCTTTTGTGCCCGCCCGCGCTTGGAAACAAAGAGTTTGGACTGCCGCTCGCGCGTCGCGGACCAACCTAGCAACATTCTTGAGGCGTTGCTTCGCCGCCTCGGCTTCAAGGAAATAGAAGCGAGGCGGGCCGGAAAAAAAAAACAAAACAAAAAATAAACCGATGGCCGAATCGGTCGGCGGCGATGTCGGTCCCGTATCGTAGAGAAAGAAGGAAGGGCCGAAAATCAGTTGCATTCGCCCACAAAGTCTTCTCGTTGCAAACGACGACAATCAAAGTGCCGACTGCTCATCCCGCCCTGAAAAACAAACGCGATGTTGAAAAACCCTGGAGAACCCCCAAGAAGCCTTTTCTTCTTTGGAAAATGATACATGAAATGACTGCTATATGATCACTGACTGAGGCTGCTGTTGTCTTCTTCTCTGATCAAAACAGTGTCCCCTTGCGGATACTCAATGAATTGCACCTTATTAAAAATATTAATTCTGTCTTTAATGCATTTTTTTTCACTTTTAAATTATCCCGCGGGCCTAATTGAACCTCCTTGCGGGCCGGTTCCGGCCCGCGGGCCGGATGGTTGACACCACAGCTTTACATAATCACCTCGCCGGCCGGAAAATTAAACTCCTTTGCGGGCCGGATCCGGCCCGCGGGCCGTATGTTTGACACCCCCGAGTGAGCCGCTTTCATTTGGAGGACTGGACAAGGGACTCGGCCAATTGACCCGAACCCGACGTCATGTTTGAACGAGGGTGTGCGAGCAAAAAAATAGAGCTGTATATGACTGACAAATGCTTGACGTGTAAATATATCGTCAGACTTCTGCGGTACACGCACTCGCAAAAAGGCCTCCACCCCCCCCCAAAAACCCCCCGCACCGCCTAATTGAGAAATTGTGATTTGCTGCCATCTTGCGCCAGTTCCAGCGAAACGCCAAATGATGCTTTTTTTTTTTTCAAGACATTTTAAATCGGAAATCCAAGAGAAACGTGAAATAAACGCGAAATCAACTCGTTGGCACGTTTTGTAGTTTGCTTTATACAGCTTATCATCTTTGTAGCGATACATAAATGTTGCGTGTGGATTGACACCGCAATCCACAGACTCATGTGAACAAATCGAGAGACTTCCATTCGTCCTAATATGAAAGCGTATTGCCATTTTTGAACAACGGACTCGTAAGCAACAACGCGTGGTGTTGTCGATGCAGCCACACAGAGAGCTGGGTTTGTCAAACAAAGAGGCCATTCACACATGGGGGGGGGGTGTCAGATTTTCGGTCAACTAAAAAGTATAATGATGACCAAAATACTGTAAAGTCTGTTTTTATTTTTCTAATCATGAAGTGATGATGAAAGTTCGCCACTTGCAGATGACACGTGAAGTGACCACTGTGACATCACACACACACACAAACACGCACACACACACACACACGCAGACAACAAAAGCCAGAGACCAACAAAAAGCTCTGAATGCTCGCGGAGGGGGATGATGCCTTCAGGTACACTCCGTGAATCCCTCACTTCAAGCGAATCGATCGCGCCGCAATAGTATACGATCCTTCCGTGATTACTGGGTCGTTGCGTGCATTTCAACGTTAGCTGGAAAGGTGATGCGTTTCAGTGTAGAAAGAGACGCGAACTAAGCCCCGTTCAAATTGCCTGGGGGTTTGGGGGGGGGGTATTCAGAGTTCCTACGGTCATTAAATGTGTCAGACAGATCTGGCTTGGCTGCTCGTGACGCGCCGACTGAGCCGAACCGAGCCGAGTCCAGCCGAGTGGAGTCGGGCGGGAGCGACTTTTCCTGGCCGAGCAGCGGAGGGACACGAGCGGCGTTTATCTGTCTGTGTGTCCGTCTGCCCTCCGCCGCCGCCTCAGTCTCCCAGTCTGTCCGTTTCGGGACTCGCGACCGGCGGCTATGGAGCCGTCCGCCTCCTACTCTCGCCACTGAGGGACCGTCGGATGCTCGAGCGGCCGTCGAGGCGGAGGCGGAGGACTGGGAGGGGGCATCCAGGTCGTTCTTCGACCACCAGGTGAGACGCCCGTGTCCGCCTGACAAGGGCCGCCGTCCTCGCGACCGCGACGGAAGACAGGCGGCTTCCTCTTCGTGCCGGGTACCGTGTGAGGAGCGGCAGACGTCGGGGTTTTTTTTTTTTTTTTTCGAACCAAAGGCGTCCAACGCCCGGCGAACCCCACGCCGTCTCCCGCACCCCACATGCCAGGCCTGGCCTGGCCAGAGCAGGGCTTGGGGGGGGTAGGCCAGGCCGCCGGGCGACGCCGTTGAACGGCCGGCGGGCGGCTCTCCGTTGGCCGGCAGACATTTGCTCGCCTTGCAAAGAAAATGGAAGCACGCCTAGCGGATGTTTTGTTATATAACAAATAAACGACACCACACACACACACACGCCCTTGAAACAAAAGCCCCGCTTCCGTTCGCTGGTTTTTGTCGGTGTGTTCCTTGGGCGCACGGCATCGCGGCCGGCGGATTCGAAGCATCCTCTGCCGGGATGCCGCTCGTCCGGGGGGGGGGGGGCGCCGGGCGCAGGCCCCC